TTAAAAATGCCTCTCTCATCGGGCCAAAGAGCCTCACATCCTGTCACCCTTGGAAATTTCAAAACAACATAACAAAAGAAATTAATGAAATAATATTAACAGACAACAGAGCATATTACGCAAATAACGAGTTATTGACCACAAGTTTGTTGTCTCGCAAAAAAAGATGAAACTGTATAAAAGTTTCGTTCGCAAAGTTATATGCTATAGTTCTAAAACATGTACCTTAAATAAGTATTACCGCGAAAAATTAAATATTTTGGAAAGGAAAATTATGAGGGCCGCAACGATTAGGCGTTGAAACGGCGCTCATCACTGTAAGGTGAAGGTCCCGGGTTCGAATCCAGCGGCTCTGCATTCGAACCCGACATACTTACAAATGGGCTTTGTTTTTTCAAAAACACCGGCACCCTGAGGGTTTACATGACCTCTGCTGTTGCTAACCCTCGTTAAAAAAAAGACATCATACATATTAAATATTAAATCAGAGATGTTGAGATGGCTGGGACACGAAGAAAGAATGTTATATGGGAGGTTACCAAGAATAGTATGAAGAATAGGCTGAAGGGACCAGAAGAAAGAGAAGAATCAGATAGAAGTATGATGTCGGAAAGGATTTAAGGACGAAAGTACCTTCAGTAAAAAATATAATAATTTCTAATAAATTTTAATGCAATTTATAATAAAAATAAAATAAAAAAGCTAGGGAAAGTAAATACTACAAAATTGGCAATATCCCTGTTCATTTGTGAATCTGATTTTTAGAATTTTTCGTATTGTGTCACTTTTTTTGTGGGTGTGCGATATGCTACTTATAAAAATGTATCTTCTTTAATTATATATGTTTTAAAATAATTTTTAAATTATCATAAGTGGAATAGGAATTTATATCAATTTTGTATTGATAAATGAACCTTAATGCTACATTACATGCATTGTTGAAACGCATGGAATGTTTACTTGCACCTTCTGTGTTTATTTAGTAATATTATTAAGAGTTTTGAGCAGTAATTATTGAGAAATCGTAGGTTTTGTGCTATATGTTATCAATAATATTGCTAAACAAACTTCATTAAATCTGGCTGAAGAATATTTCTTAAAATTGTCCATTTATAAAATAATTTTCTCCACTTTTTATAGAGTGCAATAATCAAAATAAACTTTTGCTTTAACCTATTAAATTAGTCGATACACCTGCCTAAAATATTTTTTAGTAAATCGATTTCTTAGAAATTAACAAAAAACTTTCAAGAGTTGTCCATAAATTGTACTTTTTCCTTGAGAGGCAAAACTATTCAGCGCTGCTGCTTGAAGTGTCTTAATTTGAACAAAACAACGAGGTTTCCTCCTCAGAAATATTAGTGATCCAGAAATGACTTCTTAATGTTTGGGAAGAGGAAGACCGTGAGGCTTAGAAAATGCATTAAATTTGAATTTTTATGAGCCCGTTTGTTTTTGTTCAAACTAAAATCCTACTCACTTGTCTGCAAAACAACCAAGATAAACGTAGGTAGGAAAATTTAGCGTTGTAATTGAGACTCGACTTAAAAAATATTTTGTGTGGTGTTTAAAGACCGTTAGTAATTGATTATTTGGAGATCGTGAAATGCGGTCTGGTGTGACGTAGGCACTCTCAACACGACACACAAGAATGACACATCTACATAGAAAACAAACACTTTGAGAGCCTGAAGATGATCTCAATAAAGATCGAAACGTTGGCATGATAAAGAAAATGTTTTTCTAAAATCTACGTCACACCAGACCGCATCTCACGACCTCCAAATAATAATAAAAATATTTTATGGGGGAAAGTGAAAACTAGATTTTGAACGGATAAATTAGAAATACATGTTTGAATTTATGAGCGTACAATATTTTTTTCAAGAACGTTATATATTCTCTCTCACTCACTCTCTCTCTCTCTCTCTCTCTCTCTAGATCTCTCTATATAGATTGGTATCATTTTCGCGTGTTGAGAAAAAAAAGAGAACGACTTTCCAAACAGCGAAATTAGTTGTTCTTTCCTTCCGGCAAGTGTCGGCTCGGGCTAGATTGGATGTAACATGAGGTGTAGGTGGCAGGGGCGCTGTTTGGACGGAGAGGGATGATCAATGAAGTCTGGTCTATTGACCTCAAGAATTGAATAAAACTCAGACAACCCAACATTCGAGCTTGCTCAGTACAAAATTTGTACCTGATTGCAACTGTGAGACGATGATTTGCTGATGTTCGAACGCATTTTTGTCGCTTGTCAAATACGCTGGTTTGTCTACCAATACGTATATTAAGCACCGTCAGAGAAAAAAAATAAAACTTTACAAGAGTGTTTTAACATAAATAACAACTAATAATAAGTAGTCTTAGATTTTTTGTAAAATAGAAAGTATTACAAATAATATGTTTGTAGTTGTTTTGTGTAATTTACTGTGTAATTTCTAGTGTTCACGCAAAACGTAATTAATTCCTCTTGGTTGTCATCAGGGATGTGGCCAAAGAAAGATATTTTTAATTTTAAATCTTCGCCTAGCTTTCGGAACTTTATTGTACCTTCCATCGGCCTCTACAAAAGGGTATATTATACATTTTAATTTGGTCCAATTTAACATCAAATATATATAAGAACAATAAATACATTTTTGTACTTACTGATTTTTGGTCAGAAGTATATAAACTTAAATTATTTTCAGTGTTAACATAAAAATAAAAGAAACTTCTGTACAATCAATACTTATTATTATTATTATTATTATTCGTAAGTAATTAAGGTTTTTATTTGAGATAAAAAAGTCAATGGCACGAGCGGGATTCGAACCCACGATCTTCGGCTTGATACGCCGCTGCTCTACTACTTGAGCTATCGTGATCTCGATCCACTCGGACACCAACTTCCCATCTCAACCGCACCTTTTGAATTTTCCCTCATTTTTGCCATTTTTCAAGCCAAAGATCGTGGGTTCGAATCCCGCTCGTGCCATTGACTTTTTATCTCAACTAAACCCTTAATTAATTATAATATATTAATTGGTCAAGCGGACCACGAAATTAGTGAATTCAATGATTAAAATGAAGTACACTTCACTAAAGCTCTCCGTGGCCATTTCATTTGTCATTTCATTTTGTTAACTTATTATTATTTTCTATAGAAATTCTGTTGAATAATTCTTTTATATTTAATTGATGAGTTTTAATTTGCGGCGGTTTTTTGTTTTTGCTTTATAATCGGACTCATTTAATTCTGGTGTTAATCACGACTTAACTTTCTAATAATTAAATGTGAGTGTAAATTAAACTGATATAGTGAGGGTAAAATTCAGTTATACGTCCATTCCCGAGAGACGGTGGATTGTAATAATCTCCGTCTAATCTAAGTTTACCCCAAACCGATTTTCTGGGTAATAATTTAACCCTGACTATCCCTATTGTATTTTCTGAAATATATATACACCTCTCCAGCCCGATTTCGCGCTTGATGAATTGGTCCTGTGAAAATTTCATGACGGAGTAAATCGGACAGCCGGCTCTCTTCGGATGCTCCTTCCGAAATAGAAAGAATGCGTTTTCGATAATAGAAACTATACATATAATCTTTATTTATTATCCGATTGCCGATATGGAGGCAATATTGTCAAAGGAAAACGATTTGTAGAGACTTTTATAAGATACTTTGTGTTTATGAGAGTTTGTGACAATGAATCACACTGTAACACGAACCAGGTTCATTTTGACACAATCCTTCGAACCTCGTTTCAACAAATTGATTTTTTTTTGTATTTTGAATTTTTCATTGTAAATATATTTGTTTAAATAAAAAGATTTACGGTAATAGTCTGTATTAATTCCATTATATTTAGTGGTCAATTGTCCAAATTACTTCTTTCTATTAATTAATCTTTTTATGTAAGGTTTTGTTTGAAATGAAAAAGCTAGTATCACGAGCGGGATTCGAACCCACGTCGCTGCTCTCGTTCGAATCCCCCACGTGACACTAGCTTTTTCATTTCAAACAAAACCTTACATAAAAAGATTAATTCTGTATTAATGTTTAATACTAAATTTTTTAATCTAAATTTAAATTATTGCGCAGAAGCCTTTGTCTGCGTTTATGTTTTGTATTTTCTAAAATATAAATGTTGTATTTTTCCATTAAACAAAACAACATTAAAGTTTTTTGGATGGGAATATTAGATGACAAGAAATTGGTAATTACGTCGTCATCAGGTGAGTACAAACTCTGATTACTTTTTGGGTGTCTGGGATGAGGAGCCACACAGGGAAAATTGTAAATAAACTAACTATTAATTTACATATTAGAATTTTTTAAATTATATTCTTTATGCTTTCTGCTAAAGTTTCAAAATGATCTTATTTGGAAGTTTATCAAAGTTTGTGTAGAATGACTTTTTTTATACCTTCTGAAATTTATACTTTGATGCGATTTAAACGAGACTTACCTGTTTTTTATTTTTTTAATTATGTTTGGCTACTTCAATTTATGAGAAGATATTTTATTTTTGTAATGGCTCGTTATCGGAAAACCAATAATAACATTTCCTTTGAATAATGCTTTTTTGCTATTGGAACATTCATTTCTATATATAAAAAAATATTAAAATAATTTTACTCTGACAATCCTTGGTCGTAGTTAATACTTTCGAATGTGCTAACAAGTTTTTGGAATAAAAATTGAATAAAATACGTAACAGTACAAGTAAATTGTGAAAATGTATAAATATACGATAACAATGCCAATGAAAGTATGTATACGGTTAAAGTTATATAAAATATTTTATTAAATAAATATTAGTACATACTTAACAGTACTGTCGAGCCATATATATTTGTATATATTACACATACATATTATATTTATAACATATCTGTATTTTAGTAAATTCTATATGCATTTTGAGCACGGATAAATAAAAAAATGATTTAACTTAACATTTATGCCAATTATATTCCACTATTCTGTACTAACTGCATCGGCATAACTTTACCTGTTAAAATTCCGGACCAGCTAACGTATTGTCCCCTCCCTCGAACAATGGAGTCGACTCCGGTGTGTCTGTAAAAATATTAATTTCTTGTTAGTCATGAAATCGCACTTACTGTAGCGGATGAGGTCTACATTTCAAAATCTTGCAAAAAAACAATCTCCTCAAGTAATAATGATGGTAAGTTTAGTAAAAGTTACTATTTTATTGAAAAAATTTAATTTTTTAAAGCCACTATAATATTATATATCTTTAATGACTACCATATCATCGGACCTGTGCATAGTCTTGGGGCACGGCAACGGTCACAGATCGTACCTCAGGGCTACAGCGATTTTTAAATGTATATTATTTGGTTATTCAGATATCGTGAGATGTGGTCGGGTGTGATGTAGGTTTCAGAAAAACATTTTCTTTATCGTGCCAACGTTTCGATCTTTTATTGAGATCATCTTCAGGGCTCAAAGTGTTTGTCTTCTGTGTAATTGTGCCATCCTTGTGTGTCGTGTTGAGAGTGCCAGCTCACTTTGAGCCCTGAAGATGATCTCAATAAAAGATCGAAACGTTGGCACGATAAAGAAAATGTTTTTTTGAAACCTACATCACACCCGACCGCATTTCACGATATCTGAATAACTATTGATTAACGGTCACTAATCTCAACACATGTATATTGTTTTTTTTAATGTGTTTTTGTGTTGACTTTATGTTAATTTATTGGAATGAATGTAATTTATTATCATGAAAGAAAGGGGTGATTTAACCCTGCTCCGAGAAAGATCGTGTACTCTGCGGTGAGTGAATATGAATGGTGCGGGGTGACGCCCCTGGAGGGAACTTAGACAGAGGCTGTCTTCTATCTGTGACCTTAGTGAAGCTTACGTATGGCCAACGTAAAACCCCCCGGCCTCACGGGAGACGTTGCGACCGGACGACAGCGTGTAAGCGTTGAGGACGCCATGATCATGCTATAGTCTCTCGAATGCGTGAGTAAGCGAATGGAAGCGGGTAGTGAAGCGGTGTCTCTGACTCGAGTATGCTTTGCATTGTTGTGCGTATGACCGGCGTGGTACCCTTGGGGAAGCGAAGGATCGCGATCGACCTCGAATGCGCGTGACAGGTGTAGGCTGAGCTCGATAAGAGAATTTAGCGTAGGCGGTGCTCATCTAGGGTGTGGTTAGCAATTCCACTTTAAACTAAACCGCTGCCGGGGCGTTCCCGGAAGTTTCTACGCTGGGGGAGCCTCTATACTCAGAGAGATAGAGTGATCTTCTCTATCTAGGGAGTACGCGGGGGGGGGACAGTGAGATGTATTTCGGCCTGTTAGCCTCTCGCGTGCAGCATACGACCCGATGCACAATGCGGGCCCGACCATTCGGAGTGGACAAGCGGAGAGCGATGGTTGTCTTGGCCCTTAGGGGCTGGGACACCTCTACACCAATGCTGCGGCGGTAACACCATTCCGTCGTATGCAGAAGTGCGTCAGCTCTCATCTTGAGAATCAAAACGTCCGATAAGGCCAAAAGGCCAGGTGCGGACGCTAAAGATCCTCTTGTCTTGTTGACGTTGAGTACTCGGGAACACAAAGACCCCGCCCCGAGGAATATCGAGTACTCTGGGTGTGTGTATGACTTCTGGAGGGTAAAAGTCAGTTACTAAAGAGAATGGAGAGGGTTCAACCCAGCCCCGAGGAATATCGAGTACTCTGGGGGAGTGAATGTGACCAGACATCTATGTTTGTGGTAATGTATATATAAGTATTGTATGTTTTGTTTCTATTCTGTATTTGACAACCTGAGGTACAAACGAGAGGCTAGCATGTTAGGATATGGACGTAGTACATATTTGAAATCAGAGAGTCGGTAACCTGATCGAGACGCACAAATGGCTGCAGTTTAAAACAAAATACGCGCGAAAGAAGAGAAAAAGAAGGAAAACACGCAGAGGGCGGGCGATTATCAGCTGTTTGTCGGCCCATAAACGTTCCAGTTTATAGTGACTTCCATATCTGGTAGATGGGTTCCTCAAGTTAAGTTCACAGAAAACAAGCTTATGAGTCTTAAAAGGGAGAATTACCTTCTAATTTAGCTGAAAACAACGATACATATTAAAAAACCTAGTGTTGAACCGGCACAGAGTCACCTACTGACCTGCACATGTGTCTAGTTGTAGTGCAGACGGACTTGCGGGTTTTAATGTTAATAATACTTTGCGCCATCGTCAGTGAGAAAGTTTATTACTGAAGATGGCGCAAAGCTGAAAGAAGTTGGAAGTGCTGCCACAACCCGTGAATTTAGACGGACCCAAATGACCCATTTGCGGTTTCAAATTTAAGAACCCTAATTATTATCCGTTTTTAATAGCTTGTATATCTTATATAGATTTTTCCTGCCTGATATAATGAATATGACCCTTCAATGTTAAAATTTTATATTAAAAATTAGAGATAAATACAATTTGAAATAAAACATTCATTTGAATGATTTTTTTAATGGTTTTACGACTTTAACTATATATTAATCCATATATGCATTTAGTAATAGTAATTGATCGTATTAATAGCTTTAGTGAAGTGATACTTCATTTTAAACTTAATCAATTAACTACACGACATTGAAAAATGGCAAAAAGGAGGGAAAATTCAAAAGGTGTGGCTGAGATGGGAGGTTGATGTCCGAGTGGATCGAGGTCACGATAGCTCAAGTGGTAGAACAGCGGCGTATCAAGCCGAAGATCGTGGGTTCGAATCCCGCTCGTGCCATTGACTTTTTTATCTCAGCTGAAAACCTTAATTAATTGTCATATATTAATTGGTCAAGCGGACCACGAAAGTAGTGAATTGAAATTATATAATTAAATTTGTTAAAAAATTTAAAAAATTAAAGGCCAATTGACTTGAATTTCTACTTGAAACTAGGTAAATTTAAAGATCTGCAAGCTAAGAGCGGTAAAACTAGGCCGGTCTTCGATTAGGGCAAACATGCTTAATTTGGTTTTAGCCGTTGATTGAATGAACCTTGCCAGTTAAAGAAGTCTGTTGGACGCAAAATGCTCTAAAGCTTTACACATCTTAACAGGCGATCGGTTGTAACTTTAGAGAAAGCTCGGTTTAATGGACTAACATCGGAAGGCGAGCAGTGTTTGACTTGTCCCCGAATGAATCAAACTTTGCCCGACTTGCGGTCCAATTTAGAGATTATTAACAGTGATGAGGCTAACCCCCCAAACCCATTTAGCAATGTTTGACTTATTATTTAAACAGTTTGTCTTTTATCTATCGATTCAGGAGATTAGTTAAGGGGCAGCCTTTCCAACCTTGTACGATTCATTTTCTATCATCAACTTAGCGGTTTACGTACAGTAATTATGAGTTATGACATAAAAGTTCAGATAACAAACAGCAAAGGCCAACAGTTGATGTAAACTTTATAAACGTTTAGAATGCAATATAATTATTTTAGTGTTGCAAGTGTACTACCATGAAGCACATCAGCGTTGATAGGTCAAATATCAGATGTAGGGAATCTGGCCTAGACCGGAAGTGACGATCCGATATATTTGGGAATTGAAAAGGAAGTTTTCTATTGAGTTTCCACAGAAGTGCGAGTCAAATGGCTTGAGGTATATACAGGAATCATGGGTAGTTGCGATGATATCCACATCGAACTTAAGTTCAAGCATTTTAGCCATGCTTGACTTATTATTTAAACAGTTTGTCTTCATGAAAATAATATAGATTTTTTGATTAGATGGATCGACATCCTTCCAAAGATTGCACTCACGGTCTGCATTTGCTTATCCCCTTGCAAACCGACAACTCGTACAAAAGGTTTTTCTTCTTCTTCTGTCAGATGTTTTAAAGATAAAAAATTACTTAAATTTCCGTGAATTTTTGCCTTGATTTACTGGTGTTGAACAAATGAAGGAAAAAAGGCTCATTCAACTAGCGTTTCCTTTCATCTTCGTGAAAATGGGACCGGGCGATAAATTAATTAAAAAAAGCGAGTGCCTATTTTTCCCAGCGAGCTTCAAAAACCTAATGAAGTTATTAGGCTCTGCTGGATAAACGAAAAAAAATCATAAATTTGTATAACGATGAATTCGGTGACGTTCGATACCGGGTAATTGTTCTACCATTGGCTTAAAAACTAAGGTCATAGAAAATCAGAACTGTAGGAACCAAAATGACCAAAAGTATGATCTGGAGATGATTTACATGACATTTTTAAATGTATTGTCTCGTACCTTTTTATCCATAATATAACATTTAATTATTACACGGCATAAGAAAAATGTAAATCCAAAATTAAAAATTTTCCAATAAACAAGTTTAGAGAGACTTTTCGTCAGAATAAATTGTTCAATTATACATTTTTTTTGTGAACGGTAATTTATGTATGAACATGTATAAGGCGTCAAAGGGGCCGAAAAAAGTTTTTAATCATAATAATCTGTATCGCATAATAAGTTAACCGTTTCAACCCTATTTACATTTTGGTTATTCACGAACTGCTCATGCACGAACTATAAACAAGGACTCCGTTAAAAAGTTGTTTCTTATTTAAACGCGAATAATTAATTTATAATTAAAAAAGAAAGTTATTTTGTACTCAGTGTTGTTATATATTCGTAACGACATAATATTAATTTTCAATGCTTAACTTTTTTTTTAGTATCGAACGATTCTCGTTGAAATTCGGATTGAAATGACACGGTAGCGTGATCGAGGAATAAGAAGGCTACTATTTTGTAGTAAAATAGAAGCAATATGGCTTAGGCAGGGGGCTTTTTAAAGGCCTACCCGTCAAATTCCCTGCAACAGGTTCTATAAACTCTTATTTAAACATCTCTGAACCATAAAATAAAATTAAAAACAATTTGTTTAATAAAAGTCTAACGTCGTGTTGAATTTTTCTCATTCTTTTTAAATTTTTTTCTTCAGATAGTTGAAGAGGTTATAATATAAATTTCACATATGTACTGTTTGCATATTTGCACGCGCGGTCGGTATATACAGGGTGGATCAATTTTGAGCGCAGCATAAGGGAATTGGTGTTTTTTATATTAATAT